CCTATAAATTATTTTACTGAGAGTTGTAATTAATTTTGTTTGATTGGTATAATTTTTCATGGAAAATATTGAAAGTTTGGTGTCAGTTTGACTTCGTTTTTTATGAAAATTGTCCATTAAAATGATATTTTTTTCTACCATTTGGTATATAATTTGTTCCAATTGCCAAAAAAAAATTATCATACCGAATATCATTCGTTTGGCTTTATTTTGCATGAAAATTGTCAATAAAAGTGATAATTTTTTTTGCCATTGTATCTAGATTTTTTTCAAATTGCCAAAAAAAACTGGAAAATTTATTCACACCAAAACATCAAAAATTTATTTTCCTCAAAAAGGTGGAAAAAATTTTCCCGGGAAAATTTTGCCTATCAAATACTACAAAAGTTGAAAATTCCATGGAAAATATGGCGAATCAAACGGAGCCTTATTGTATTTTATAGATGTATTGGTCAAGTAATTTAATGTTTACTGAAAGTGCATACTTATGTAGATAGATATGAAGAGTGTTGTTCCGATTTCAACGCCATAAATGGAATCGTACTATAAAATTATGCTCATGTTTGAGCCACATTATTTTTTTCATTCTCATTTTCAACCACACATTTTACAATAAAATAATATTTTCCATCACATCAAAAACTTTTTCTTCTTTTTCGACCACATTTCCCCATCACACCAAAAAAAAAAATGCATTCTTGGACTTAAAATGTGTACCAAATAGGGAATATAACAAATAAATACATTTATAAATTTCTCTGTTTTGTCCTCATTTCTTAAAACCCATTTTCATGAAATTCATTTCTAACAATACATTTCATGGAAATTCACAATTTTTATTAACTTTTAAATTATATATTTCATTAACTTTTATCAGAATCTATTTAAAATTTAATTTTTATTCAAACTAAACATGAGCTAAATGAAGTGGGAATGGGAAAGCATTGACTATCATAGGAAGTATTTGCAGAATACGGCTTAGATGGCCAAGCAAGTGGGTCAAGTGCTTAGAAAGATTCCAAAATAGCATGGGATATTTCAAGATAAGGGAATCATTCACAGAATCTTTACACGATCCTGCTGTGGCGACATTCAGTGCATTTGTGTGTGTTTTTTTCAATTTTGAATTTGTGTTGTCGATCTCAAATTTTTGTACCAATTTTGTACAAATTTTTTGTACTTGTAGATTGATTCCGTATAATATTATTTTATTGAACAATTTATAATTCATAAAAAACGAAAGGAAAATAAATTATGATTTGAATGGAGTCAAACGAGACCTAAATAGCGTACTATTTACAGTGCGGCACCCACTATAATTTCACTCTGCTTAAGGCATCTTTTTCAAGAACCTAATTAATGTTTTACCAAAATTGAATCTGGTCCAATTCTTAGTAATATTCGTGTCCTGATAGAGTATTTAAAAAAAATTAGTAATGGAATTTAAAAAAAAAAATTATAAAAATTTTGATTTTCATTGTAGTTAAAATTAATTATTAATTTTGACATCAACCTTTTAAATTATTTCAAATAGGCACGTAACGTCGTGAAGGAGAAAACAAATGCTTCCCACATTTTTCTTTATTTAAATTTACCCATTTGCCGGTGGTTGCTACTTAACAAATTAAGACGATTATTGGATGTATGGAACTTGATATGTTTTTTTTTTTTTNTTTTTTTTTTTTTAAATCGATCATAGTTCAACCTAATATTCGATCTCCTTATTGTTTCTTTTTTTCATATATGAAGGATATTAGCACGAGTCTTTTTTCAGTAAACGATAGAGAAATGAGTCGATAACACATCATATTCTCTTCAGCTACAATGATGAAAATAACAAGTCAATTATGAGTAACCAATAAAGGAAAAAAGTCATACGTTTGCATATTCACCGGCTAGCATAAAGAACCTTATCACAAAGTATGTTTTCATATAATATTTTTAGCATAAAGAACCTTCTCACAAAGTATGTTTTCACTGAGGGTGTGTTTGATAACACCCCATTTCCATGGAAAACTGAATTTCTTTTCCTTTTCCACCTAATGTGTTGTTTGATGGCCACTTTTTGCTATGAAAATTACCACTTTTTTTTTTCCTTTCACGCGCCTACTTCTAGGCGTGAAAGGAATGGATTTTTCCACTTTTTAGGTGGGAAAACAATTTCTGG